TGTTGAGGAAGGGATTTCACTCTTGTTTCCACAGGAGAAGAAAAGCTATGGACACCATCAAAATTGATAAATATTCGGTTTGAAAAAGAGAAACCTCTTGTGAAAGAGAAATGACGGCTCATCCACAGAGGTGGTAATCATACAGGTGGTAAGAAACCTCAGAAGGGTTGGGGCAGGGTTCTGTTCTTGTCTTTGCAAGAAAATATTCATCTTCACAGAGTGGAGAGATCTCGGACATCTAGATGCCTAAAGATAAAAAGATAGCTATCCAGAAAGAATCAACAAGCAAAGAGAAATCTATTTTATAATCTGTATTATCTGCATGGTAAAATTTAATTATTTGGATACATATACATCTCTAGTTAAAAATAAGAGCTGGCTTTGGAGTTAGACAATGACTATCCTTCTCTAAATCCAAGCATGTTGTTCAAAGAAAAATTCAGAATTTCCATCTCATGTCAGGAGCCATCTGGTATGGGACAGAAAGAAGAAAGATTTTAAGGAAATATTTTACTTTTCTCCATGCCCATTTTGTTTATATTGTATCTTTTGTTGAATATATGTCTATATAAATAATGCTTAAGTTCTCCACAATGAACAGTAGATTTTCCTGCAGTAATCTTTGAAGTTTCTATAAAGAAGATGGGGCCCCACAACAATGACTCCACCTAGTTGATATAAGATCACGATGCTAATAGCTCTACTATGAGATAGGTTTTTATGCACCAGCTGCAGAAATGGTGCACCTTCTTACATTCTGGCCAGAACTACAAATAAGAACTTCAAAATAAATAAACAAACTAACAAAGACCCTATCAACTACTCAGAGACCATTTGTAATTATACAAAACAGCAATCTTGAAACTTAACCATCATTTTAAATTTACGGGTTTCTATAGAAAAAATCATTGCCCACATGACAGCAGGAAGCAATTCTAGAAAGCAACATCCCCTCACCCAACAAAGTTTGTCTTCATGGTTAGAAATACCATTTAGGGGTTGATTATTACTCACATAGGGTTGGGGGTTGGGGTGGAAATTATATAGGCCTAGAGATCTCAAAAGAAAATTGAATGGGATAATAGGTAATTTAGTGTGAACTTATTCATACTACTAATAATAATAATAATGAGTAATAGAGTTAATACTTGTTATTAACAAGTATTATTACTTGTTATAACTTGTTATTAATAAGCTATTATTTATGGACAATTTATACTGGTATAGTTTCTTGTATATTGATACTTAAAATTATATTTGTTATTTCTGTTTACAATATTTGCACACCTATGCAAAGTTATTTTATTGTATTGTATGCATGTATGTTTCTACCTCTGTTTAAGACATTTTGTATATTGATACAATTTTAGGATGTATTTATCATATTGCATTATATATTTCTACCTCTGATTAAGATATTTATACATTGTTTACATTTTGATGTCATTGTCCTCCTTTACTGTGCAGTTGTTTAAAGACTGTTTAATATTCTGATATGAAGTCTTAATCTTTAAGTTATATAGGTATTAAGTATTATAGGTCAATAGTCATTCATATTTGTTACACTTATAGTCAGACTAATTAGGTTCTTTAGATACATAGAGATTTATTCTGCAACGATAGGTAACCTTCAACCACTTCTGTAGAAAATGACATTTAAATAACTTAGAATTCTGTTGACGTGAGACACAATTGCTCCTGGCAGCACTGATCTATTCCCGAGAGAGAACTGAGCACCAAAGACACTCCACTAGGAGCTTGTCTTCTTCTTGGCACAACTGCCTTTGGGAAAGAAACTGTCCATGCCTCAACCACTGACAAAATGCACGATGTCCAGACTGGACATGCAGAATACAAGAAAAAAGACTGTCAAATCTTGCCAAGACAGGATAAGACAGTTTTGAAAAATTTCCTGACTCTGAAAATGGTCTGTCAGTTACTCTAGGCCTTAACCAAAGTTGGTTGTTTCAACATTGCAAATGAGACTTTGGGTGATTGCTCAGGCAGCCAGTTATCTCTGTCATATACTGCACATTTTGGAAGCTGCTTGATTGCACTTCCTGCCTATTCAAGTAATATTATCTCCCTTCTCAGGCCTTTGATGGGGTTGAAGATTAAATAGTCGTAGTTACCGTCCTCTTATGATCTAGCCAAGTCTTTTCCAATGCAAGACTTAGACTCCTTTGGATAGAATGTTTATTAAAACACTAGGATATGTTTCTTGCTTAATATTGTTTATACTGGTTATAAATCTAATTTTATACTTGATATCTGTTCCTAGTGTACATAGTTTTGAATTGGGTTTAGAACTCTTTTATTTAAACAAAAGGGGGGAGGTGCTGTGGGAGCTCTTTCAGCTCCTTCAACCAATAGCCTTTAAGATACCAACCCACTTGGGTGTGGTCTCCTATACTATAAATGCAACTGTAAAGCTTGCACTTGCTCTCTTGCTTCCGGCTCTCACTGCTCGCTGCTTGACTCTATTCCTGTACCCCATTCGTGCAGAGGACTGTGATCTAGGACAGTGATCTGTGAGTCTTCCCTAATTAAATAACCCTTTATTATATATAATTCTGAACTAGTGTGGGATTATTTTGTAACTTTTGACATCAAGGCTAAGAGCAGAAACCATTAATTTATTGCCATTTATTAAACCAATATGTATTGAGCTCCTACTAGGTGCTGTCACCACAATAAGTTTATGCTGGTAATTCTAACCTTGACCTGTGGAACAGGCACTCACAACCCTGTACTGCAAACAGAATAAGGAGATGAACAAGCCAAGACGAGAAACAGAGGAAGGCCCTGGATCACACTGGGATTCAGACTTTCCTCAGGCCTGCCTTTTGGCTTTCTCTCACACCCACCTCCTGCACTGAGTCTAGAATTCTTGAAAAAATGGCAATGTCACGAAGTCAGCTTGGTCTCTACAGCACCTCCATAATCCACGGCTCACATTAGGTTCACATTCAGATATGATCTGAATGAGTGAATAACGTGTGGGGTCCTAGAGTCTTTACTATCTCATTGGAGTCTTAGAAGAGGGACTGCTGCCCCCATTTCCAGGTACTTGTTGCTACCCTACTTCTGGGCAAAATGTGCATAAGTGGGATTGTCTCGGAGGCACACTGAAACATCCTCAAGTATAGCAGAATCCAGGTGAGGCCAGTACAAGAGGTGGAGCAGGCATGACCTAAAATGAGCACCAGTTCAATCCTGCACAGAATAGGAAGCATGCCAAATTCAGGCATTGGCCCATGTGTACCTAATATGTGTGTGTGGGGTGGGGGGGCATGACAATAAGGGTTCCAGGCAATGCATGGCACCTGAAGCTAGGAGATACCCAAGTTTCCCCTTTTGTTCTGGAAGGATGACTGAGTTGAACACAACTGAAGCCCCAGCCCCATCCATTTCAATCTTGATCACCCCTAAACTTGTATTAAATCGCTACGGTCTTCTAAGCAACATAGGAGCTCACTGTCACCCTTATAACCTCCAGTAGTTCCCAGAATGGGAACCGCTTAAAATCATCTGAATAAAGTCTCCCATGTCCATCTTTCACGCCAGAGTATGCTAGGTAGAAGGAAGCAACTTCAGATGAGACTTTTAAGGACCTTATAGGACAGGTATGATGTCGGAGGCTGGAATGTGAATAGAAACAGACACAGAGAATGCGTGCAAGCTCCTTCCTGAAGGCTGAAAAGGAATGTGTGAGTTCAGTGAGGGGAATTTGGGAAGACCTCATAAATATGCATGCATGTGAACTGGGCCTTGAAGGTTAAGCAGATGTTTGCCAGTTGGAGAAGGGGCACAGAGCAGCTGGAGTCAAGGGAGCTGCCCCGGAGCATAAATAATACCTGTAGAGAGAGGGTATCCAGCCACATGGCTGGATGAGCAGACCAGGCACTGAGTGGGAGAACAAGGCTGGCACAGCCTCACAGAAGGCATGAGTGTGTTTTAGGGTTTTCAGATTTCTGCACATTGCACTATAAGCAAAGACAACAGGGCCCCTCGCCACCCAGATTCCCAGCGAGTGCCAGGGAAAACGTCTAAGGTATCATATCACCTAAAGCAAATGTACCATCGGCGTTTTTATAAACCTTCAAGAAAGAAGAAACAAAAGCTGTTGAAATGTGAAAATGATTAGAGAGGCGACTTTTCCAGGGAACAAACATGGCCCACGCTGTGTGCAGAGGGAAGAACAAACAAATTTAGGGACGGTTATGAAGCTGTAAAAATCCCTGTTTATTTCTGAAGAGAGAAATAACGTTGGAGCAAAGCCACCCCACCAAGTCTGTACAACCGTAAATCAGGGCTGAGGCGGGGAGGAAGGAGGAGTCAGCCGATAAATTCAAAGGAAAGCAAAGCTGCATTCCAGCTGTCCCAGGCGCCCTGGGAACCTGCTCTGCTAGGGTTCTGCAGCCCAGGAACACAGCAGTCCAAAGTTAGCGTGCCCCGGGTGTGTTCGGCTATGCTTGCCCCATCAGAAAGGCTTTGGCTCGGTTGCGATTTAGGAAAGCTAGTCTGAGAGTTTCACTTTTCAAAAAGAAGTCGGGGAAACAGAACAGCGGAGTCCCCCCTTCTCCGGCTGCTTTGCGCAGGGTAGTTTCAGCCCAACAGAAACCCTGAGCAGGCAGTGAGGCATGCTCAGGGCTCGGGAGGGAATTCCCACCCTGTCTGCTCGCCCACCCCAGGCTGCTGGCTTCGGTAAACAGCTTTGGTGGAAAGGTCACCACTGACCTTCGGGCTGAGGGATTTTTCTTGTTTCACACCTCAGGTTTCTGGAGAGAGAGAACGAGATATTGTTTACTGAGTATTTGCTCCACTAGCAAAACTGAGAGCCCTGAGCTGCCTGCAGAGCAAGTACCCAGAGCAGGCCAGGCTTCAGCTCCATGCTGGTGAGCACTTTAGTGACGCCCCCTGCCTCAGACCAGCATGCTTTATTTTCAGTTTTTCAGAGAATGAGGAGAGCAAGTGGTTTCATTTCATTGAGTACTGACCTCTTCTTCACTAGAAGCCACGTAAACTCACCCGAACGTCGCACAATCTGTCTACCAGCTCTGTATGGTAAATACCGCTGTGTCCTAGGAAGACAAGCAACTCTGGTAAATTGCTTGCAGCAGCAGACGGATGTTGCAGTCAGTGTGTGGGGGCAGTAGGAGGCAGGAATACCTCCACTATCTCTTAGCCATGAAACTCTGGTTTCAGGAGCCAAAACTCTTATCTGAAAAAGCTAAATGGTTCGAGAAGATGGGAGGTGAAAGTTCACTCAAGGGAATTTGCTTCATTAAGAGGTGAGTAGCCACAATAACAAATTATTCAGTGCCAAGACCTTACCAGTTACTGGAGCACCAACTGGCCTAGCCAAGAAGTTCTTTACATATGCTAATTCAGAGCTGCCAGAAAAGCACCCTTGAGGAAGGTGGCAACTCCATTTTATAGATCAGAGAACTGAATTAGGGAGATGAAAATGTCTGAACCCCGTCACCTTACTGGAAGAAGCAGAGCAACCTTGCTATTAAAAGTCAATTCTTGAGTGGTATCTATGCTGTCTACAGACCATAGAAAGTATATTTTCTGTTTAAAAAATTTAAAATAACTGAATTTATTTTTTACTAAATCAGATGCCATCCTAGCAGATGTCCAGGTTTTCTTGAGATTAAAGCAAAATTAATACATCTGTACCTGTGTGTATGTTTGTGGGTGTGGTATGTACATGTTCATGTGAGTGTGTGCACTTGTACGTGCGTGTGTTTGTGTAAGGGTAGATGCTAGAAGTCCTGGAGACCCTCCTTGATCTCGCTCTAGTGTTTGGAGACATCATCTCTCCCTGAACGTAGAACTCATTGATTTGGAAATCGAGCTGTACCTGTCCCTCGTGTCATCCCTTACCCAGCACTGGAGTTACAGATAGGTGTTACCCCTAGTTTTTTGTGGGGGTTTCGGGGATCTAAATGCAGGTCCTCAGGCTTGCACGGCAGCCGTTACACTGTCTGAGCCATCTCTCCAGCCCCACATCTCCATCTTGGGACTCTGGTCTTTCCCTATTACGTGAGTAGCAGGGACCCCTGTTGAACAGCATCTGTCTGCCACACCAGCGGTCAGCACTGGCAGCAGGTGAAAGCCAGGGTGGAACTTGCTCCCAAGGCTTGGCTGCCATAGTTCATCATTCCTTTTCAGTAGCCATGTAGTAGCCACTGCATTTTATGGAACATCTAAACATCAAGCCTTTATCCGCCTGATTTTCAGATGCAGAAATTCTAACTCAAAGAGGAGAAATAACCAGACCATGCGGTGGGAGGGCAGGACCATCACTTGGCTATCACACGGGTCTGTCAGAGTTGTCCCCCTCGTCCTTACTTATTTTGTCCACTTCTCTCCCTCACTTTGTACTTTAGTTTCCCGCTTATGCCGTGAGAAATTACTGCAAACCTAGACGTTTACAATACCACACAGCTGTCTTATCCCCTTCTAGAGACCAGAGACCCAAAGCCACTAGGAGTGGCTGAATTAGAGGTGTGGCATCTGCAGGCCAGAGGAGACCCGCCCCCTAGCCTCCTCCCTCCCAGGGCTTCACTCAAGGTTTTTATCTGAAACTACATCCTAAAAATAGCCAACTACATGGTCAGGGGGTAGATTTACTTCCTTGGCATTGGACATGCCCACTAGCCCTAGTCAGGACTGAAGTTCCCCCATCCCCTTATCGGCATTACTCTGTAGGCTCTACAGACAGGGAAAGGGGCTATCACACATTATATCATCTTTTCAAAGGGCCCCTCCTATCAGCCCCATCATAGGTCACTTCCTCATCAGCACCATGTGACTCTGGTAGAGGTTAAGGATAACCATTGCCAGCCTAGCATATGCTGCTCTAACGTACAAGCCGTTTCCACAGCCATTTTTCATTGTTCTCAGGAAAATGGTACGCCTGAAATAACAGTGATGTCTCCAGCGGTTTGTTGGGGGGTTTTTTGTTTGTTTTATCTTTTGTTTTTTGGAGATTTTCTTTGTTTTTTTGTTTGTTTGTTGAGATGGGGTCTTTCTACAAAGCTCTGACTGTCCCGGAACTCACTCTGTAGACTAGGCTGACGTCAAGTCCCCGAGTGCTGGGATTAAAAAGTGAGGGATTGCCTCCATCCGATTGGCCTGTAGGCCCTCTCCTGGGCAGATCAATGGTCCTGGAGTCTACACGAGAGCAGGCTGAGCAAGCCGTGAAGAACGCCGCGGAAAGCAGCAGTCCTTCATTCCCTCTACTGCGGTTCCTGTCTCCAGGCCCCTGCTTCTGAGTTTCTGCCCTGAGTGCTCTCAGTGATAGACCTTAATCAGGAAATGTAAGCCAAATAAACCCCCTTTTTCCTCAAGCTGGTATAGTCGGTGGTTTTATCACAGCGGAGAAACCTAACTAAGACCCTGCACAACCATGAAGGCTAGAGTTAAAATCCCCAGGACCCACCTAAAAGTCAGACAGGTATGGCAGCTACCTAGAGTCCCAGCACTTGGGAAGCCGAGCTAGAGGGGTTTTCCTTGATTGCTTTCTCCTTTACAAGACAAGACCCCGAGCTCAACCTAGAGGCTGGTCGTTTCAGCTGGTCTACCTAGCCAGCTTGCCCCAACACCTCTGGCTCTTGTTCCCATGTGCTGGGATTCTAGGTAGCTGCCATCATCCCTCAGCTAAGGTTCCTCACTCCAGAGCACTCTGGCTTGTGTCAACTTTACAAAGACAAAACGCCACACAACCAGCCAGCATACAAAGCGAGCGCTTTGTCCCCCACGCCATCTCTCTAGCCCGTGAAGAGTGCCATGACACAGACAAAGCTGCTGAAGTCCAAGGTGCTACCATTTTGGTGTGGCCTAGACTGGAGGTTTGAGGCGAGCAGAGGAGGAGAGGATGCAGATAAAGACAGCTCTAAGTGCTCCCACTCCAAGCAGCACTCCATTTTCAGCCAGCCGTGAATCCATTCCACTCCCTTAACTAAATAAATGGCATAAAGCAAGCCCAGCATGTGAAGCTATCCCTTTGATTTTGCCCTTCCACCCTCTTGTCTCGTCTCTGTGAAAGTCTGTCTTATCCACAGGCCTGCCTAGAAGGTATGGTAGTTTCCTTTGACTACTGATCCTAAAGTGTGCATTTGCCTGAGCTTTGGTATACAAGTACACAAGTGAATGTTTAAAAATGATAAAGTATCTCTCCGTAAATGAATCCCCTGTGCTTTCTGTCATAGGCCTTTGAGGAAGACTCTTCTCTCCATTTGAACTCTCTGAGGATGAAGTTCTCTCCACAGAGGGACGAAACATGGTGGTCTGGGCATCCTGGAGAATCACTCACTGTCATTGTGTTCGCCAGTAATGTTGAGTGGTGAAATTCCAGATCGCAGAGACTCATTATTCTTCAGCCACACATGACCCCTCCACAGAACATCACGCCTCCATTTGCCCTAGAGATTTTATTATGGTTGTTCCGACAGATTTTTCAAAGCCTTGGAAAGTATCTACTCATGACCCAGAGCAGGAGACAGAGGATCAGTTTCGGAGGCATGAAGGCATGAGTTCGAATCCTGGTTTTGCTCCTCACTAGTCATGTGATTTTTATGGGGCTTATACAGTGTTGAATTAGCATCTACATACCTGCCTCAGTTTCCTCACATTGAAAATGGTCAATGAGGTGGGGGGCTGTGGTAAGAAGTAAATAAAAAAAATAAACCAGAAGCTCCAAGCACACAGTAGTTATTCATTGATGGCCATTGGCATCAGATAAGTTCTCAGCATATTTATCAGCTAAAAAATGGTTTGATCTGATGTGATTCAGATACAGATTTACCAAAGGGAAAACTTACAGAGACAGGGTGGGCCTACGGAGCCAGTAAGTGTGTTGAGACATAGAGCAATAGAATCCCTTCTCACTCCTAAATCCAAAGAAACAGAAGGAAGAAAGGGTAGCTGCCCAGCCAGAGACAGAGCCCAGGAGGGGCGCTGGTAGAGGAATACCAGGGCTGGCACTCCTTGGCACAATGTCTGGGTGAGTAGGGGACTTCTCGGTCTCTCACTCTTTCACCTCTTGTAGATGATTTCTTGGCGCTGATCAAAGCCAACCAGAAGACAAAGGCCAATGAGTACTCCTGTCGGCATCACAGGGGTCAACCTCCTATGGCACAGTCCAGATGAGAGAATGGATCTGGGTAGCCAGAGGGCACAATAGCAGAATTATCAGGCCAGCAAGGGAAGCCCTTGCGATTCCTATATATGGGCTAGTACTAGTGTATCCAGACTGTATGCAAAAATCTCTGCATAAGGGTTACAGTAGTGATTGTGATCATGTTAATTTAGGCTCAAAATTGCTGCATTAATCTCCAGAACCTAAAGAAATCCCTCCTTCTCCCCAGGCTCCTGCCCCAGACATCCTCTCTGGCTCTCTTCTACTCATACTTTCTGGAATATACTGGCTCTGCCATGCTTTTCTGCTTCCCCATTGCAATTCTATTGGAATTTTTTTTTTTTAATTAGTGAGTCTCTTTTGACAGCAGATGCTGGTACTTGGGAGTATCTTAATTTCTACTCTTCTTCTTTGGGAAGCCCACTCCTGATGTGGGATGTCCTTCTGCATGTTGCAAATAGGTGTTGCTTTTATTGGTTGATAAATAAAACTATTTCAGCCAATGGACAGGTAAAATATAGATAGGTGGGAAATCCAAACTAAGATACAGAGAGAGAAGAAGGCAGAGTCAAGAAGATGTCATGTAACTGCTGGGGAAGCAAGATGTGAGGCAACAAGCCACGAGCCCCGTGGTAAAATATAAACTAATAGAAATGAGTTAATTTTTCATTAGAGCTAGCCAGTAAGAAGCCTAAGTCATTGACCAGACTATTTTAACTGATATTAAACCACAGTGGTTATTCGAGAATAGACAGACAGACAGAAATCAGTTCAGGTGGACCAGCAGGACAGAAAATACTTCTAGCTATATCTGGCGCCCGAACATTTGGGGCTAACCTAATTGCTGTGGTCAGTTCATGCAGCCTGCCATCCACTTTGGGTCTTGGTCAGTACGCCTACTCGGGGTCAGGAGGAACCCACTCGGTTCTGCT